GAAATGTTTGATTCAATACATTAAAAAAATAAAAAAAAAATAGCAAAAAAAAATTAATTAAAATAAATGTTCAAAGCTCGTAGGGTTGCCCCGAACCGAAAACTTTAGGCAAGGGTTGAACATTTCTTGATTCGTAACCTGAACTGATACAATCTGAGATGACTCATGACCCGACCCTAATCGACAGATCTAGCTACATAATAACAAAATTCTATTAGATTACAGAGTATAATATAACAAAATTCTATTAGATTACAGAGTATAATATATCTAGATTAGTATATATTATAAATGTATGTTTTACGCTTTGAACTACTTCTTTCACTCCAAAAAATATTATGACATAAAAAATAAATTTATATGATAATTTTTTAGAATTATAATCTAATAATTTTTTTGAATAAAATTATAATTCAATTTGATATTGGTATTTTATCGAAAATAAAACTCTAAACTAACAAATTTATCCTCAAATTCTATCCAAATAAAATGCTAAACTGACTTTTTTTATCTTATGTAGACTATTTAAATATCTTCTACGTGGCGTGACACTTGGCGAAAAGTTGGAACGCCAAGTGTCGCCGCCTCATGACCTGTCTAAAAGTTTAATATTGTCATTTACCATGTCATCGAATGTATTTTTATTTTTTAAAAAGTCCCCAAATATATTACTACGTATTAATAGTTTTTTTTTTAATAGAAAAAATATTTCATTAATTAAAACTCATACGACATGTACAATAGATATTCGACGTTAACAAATACATAAGATATTGAATCAAATAGAATTTTCCTTCATAAAAACTACGATCTTTGAGTAGATTTTGCACTGCGGAGCATCTCCCGCTTATATCGCTGAAAATTACAGCCTTGTTGGAGAGACAATCTAACGATCCTTTGTAGCCGTGAGGATGTTTTCCTTCTGATTCATTTGTTCGTATTCGAAAACTTGATAAATTTTTCACCAACGAAATAATTTTACAATAATCCATTAGATCTGCTACCATGGATTCAAAACTAAGAAATTTCTCCCTCGAAAAGAGGAGATAAACCTTGTTTTTCGAAGGAGGTCGAAAAACCCTTGTCTTTCGAAGGAGATCGGAAACCCTTTCTTTCGAGGGAGAAAAGTTCCTCCCAAAAGGAGGAAGCATTATTATAAACCTAAAAGAAACAATAAAGAAACAAGGATTGGGGTTTTCCACTAATTAAAATCGATGGAAGCCCCTTCAAAATTCAACAATAGAGGCTAGAGTTTTGGAGAGAGAAAGGAGGAGAGAGAAAGGAGAAAAAAAATTGGCAACCACAATAAATGAATACGTATTAATAGTTAACAATTACTAAAAATAAATAAATAAAGTTCAAGCTAAAATTAAATACTGGGTAAAGATTAAGAAAACATGTCAAATACATTTACTATCATTTATTCAAAAGATAAGATTAAGGGCTTGTTCTCATTGACTGGACTCAGCTGAACTGAACTGAACTGAACTGAGCTGAAATGAATATTTTACAAGAGAAGGAACTGCACTAAACTAAGCTGAACTGAACTGAGCTGAACTGAGCTGAATTGAACTGAACTGAAGTGAACCTGAACTAAACTGAACTGAATTTCAACGTAAGAGAACATGCCCCAAGTATTGGTTCAATATATATATATATATATATATATATATATATATATATATATATATATATATATATATTTGTATGATATCAAAAACAATCCACAATAGATAAGAGCTAAATTTAAATAAATTTAATATACACACCACATGCCGTCGGTGTTGTTGTATAGCTCAGGTTACGGTAGTTTTGTACCCCGTGAGATGCCCGGGTTGTTTATCGAATTTTAAAATATTTTTTTTATCTAAAATAAATATGTTATTTGAATTTTCTACTCATGCATTAATAATCACTTAACAATCATACATGTCCGTCTATGGATACTAATAACTTACAACCATAACCGTCCTCTAAAAATTGTAATCTCTTTTCATTTATCTGAGTATTTAGGGAAATACCAGTTGTATGTTAAGACTTAAGAGAACGATTATATATAATCACAGGTCTCTTTGAATTTTTTTTTTATTTTTTTATTTTCCTTTTGTATATCGTTAGATTTGTCATTTGTATAGAAATATTGGTATTTAATTAAAAATAAAATTCTAAACCAAAAGTTTTATTGAAAATAAAACTCTAAAATAGCTTTTTTATCTTATGGAATCTATCCAAATTTTAATGAAAATAGAATTCTAAAATAATTTTTTTATCCTACTTTTTTCTTAATATTAACTTTTTTTATCCTATTCTACAAAAAATATTTTCAAATAAATCCCAAGTGTCATAATAAATTATTAATTGTCGCCTACGTGGCACGACATTTGGCGAAAAGCTAGAACGTCAAGTGTCGAAGTCTCATGACTTGACTAAATTTTATCTTTATGAGTATTAGTTACTTCGTATATGATATGATATGGTACTTTTTGTAGTTTTGTTTGTAAATAGATATATACTTGTATGATGTTATTAACTTGAAATTATTTTTATCAACTTTAATTATTTTCATAGAACTTTAATTTCTTTCTTTTTTTTACATTGTCTAAAATTATTTGTATTGATTAAACCTTATTTTTAGCCTATTCTCTATTGTTATTAAAATAAATTAAATGTATTTAAATGGATCTTAACTTAAAGAAATTTTTCAACAAATTTTATGATAGAAATAGATTCGAGTTATAAGATATTTTAGTCTGTTTTGCATGTAGCTGGTCACACCATGTGACCACTTATAAAAAAAAAAAAAAAAAAAAAAAAACAAAGTAACCCCTATAACACTGACTGAGTAAGCTTATAATATTGACCAAGTAATCCCTATTACACTTTCGAAATAACACCTTTAATACTAATCAGGTAACCTCTATTGCACTAATGAAATAACTTTTATAACGGTTGGCCACACCATATGGCCAGCCACATATAAGAATTTGTGTAAGATGTTTATTAATTTTGTATATATGAAATTTTAGAAGCATGTAAAACTCAAAACAACATTTTTATCTTAAAAAATCTATTCAAAATTTGCTTACTCAACATCATGTGTCACAATAATATCTATTTAAAGATAAAGAAAAGTAAAACATTAAATATAAACATACTTGCAGCGTGTAGCCGTGGAATATTGCATCAAAAAAAATATTTGCAGCTTGTATCTTGTTTTCATTTTATATGTTAAGGGTAAAACACATAATCTGACGGGCAAATACAAGTTAATCTAGCAGATAAACGAATTTTTGTTAATCTGTTGACAATTTTTGTAAATATATTGAAAAAGCGTGATAATTTATTCAATATTTTTAGTGAGCTGTCCAATTACTGTTTGCAACTTGCATTTACGGTTTGATGAGGAAATTACGAGTTAAGTATAAATTTGGGGAGTAACATTTTAAATTTTTCACCTTTTGGGAGCTCCCACTTTTTTTCACTATTTGGGACCTCAATGGTGCAATCCGGTCAAAAAGTGAGACCCTTGGGTTAATAATGTTAGTCTCTTAAAAAGTGACAGAAATAAGTTAGTCCCTTATTTAATGCTCATGCTGGTTGATTTGATGGGGGCGTGTAAAAAACAAACACGTGGGCACGGGGAATGTAAAGCTTCTTCTGCAAGTTTTTTTTAAATGCATGGTCCTAAATATAAAAAGATTTGTTTTCTTATTTTTTTTTTGGAGAAAAAAAAAAACAACAAACGCAGCGTTTGAAATCTTTGTGTGTATTTACCCATTTTAGGCGCCATTATTCTCATTTACTCCCCTGCCAAAGCTCTACAAATTCCCTATCCGTGTGAATATTCTTCGTGTTTGGTGGCTCTCAAATTTGATAATTCGGACAACATTTCGCAAGGATAGTGAGGTAAGCATCATAAATTTCAATTATGCATGTTTTTTTTTCCGAAAATATATGTTTTTTATCTGGGTTGAAATAGGTTTTGGGGATTTGAATTTTTTTTTTCCTATTGTTTGAATTATGCATATTTGTGTTGAAATTAGATGTTGAATGAGTTCGTAGCTGTGTACATTTAGCTTATGTGTTTGTTGATCGTTTTATTTTGCTATAATTACCTGAAAATTTGAGTTGTGGTTTTTTTTTTGAATTAAAACGGCTAGTTCAATTGCAGCAGCTCTTAATATCCTTTTGTTTTGAATATTCTTGCTTAAATTAATGAAGGGACTCACTTAAGGAAAAATAATGAAATAAGGGACTCACTTTTGCTCAGGTCAGTTTAAGTTAGGTTAAATGACCGAAAACCTAATTAGTAGAGGTCTCAAAAGGTGAAAAAAAAAATAAGAGGTCCCAAAAGGTGAAAAAATGAAAATGTTAGACCATGTTATTATTCATAACTCGAAAATTACACATGTAACTCTCAAATAGTACATGAAAAAGATACATGTAATCCTTCACTATTATACCCCAAATAAACACATACACAATGCACAATGCTTAACTCTGATCTAACTTGGCAGAAGTTCAAACACATGCACAATGCATCATCCGTCAAATCAATATCTGGAGCAAGAATGTTTCAAAGATTTTTAAAAGTGTTGGTTGATAAATATTAAGATTTTTAATCCTTTGATGACTTTTGCTCATTTCGGACCCTATGAGCAATTGAGCACCATGCATAATAGAGGTTCTCAAAATCATTACTGTTTATTTGGCAAGTGACCAAAATTCCATAAATGACAATAATGAGAATGAATGTGTATAAATTTAAAGAAAAATCAAAGTTCATTTTCATGGTATTACTAATTCCCCCCAAATTGTCCATTTTTCATGGTATTACTAATTCCCCCCAAATTGTCCATTTTTCATGGTATTACCCTCTCCATGTATTATGTTCTTATCCTCTGTTGAAGCCCATCCCACTACACAAACATGCCATTTCTGTAAAATCATTCCATTTTAATCTAATGGCAATATGGCGTACCAAAAGCACTTTTCTGATATGCAAAGAGGGTAGAATGCAATTTTCTGTAAAAAGATGCTGATCTCCATACATGTGTTGATTCACATATATTGACTCATCCTTACAAATTCATGCACTACATATCATATGCAAGGAAATCTTCACTACCTAGCAAGCCTATAACGGCTATAATTGAGAAAAAAAAAAAAAAAAAGATGACCACCACAAAAGAAACTACCACTAAGTCATTAATGACATACATGCATCAACAAACCAAGTGAAAAAGAGCAACCACCAATTACAAAGACGAGGCATGTGATCCAGATACAGCTCAAGAATCAGCAGAAATCACCGGGAATGATTTGGGTTCATGGCCGTGCACTCTAAGCCGATATATGCAGGTAAATAATGAATTTCCATGGTTGGAGAGTAAATCAAACCTAATAGTGTTAATAACAAATGATCTAGCCTCATCAAGCACGTTGAAGGTCTGGGCATTGCTCTTCTTCAGGTCATACACAAATTCTGTCAGAAGAATTTCCTCTCTATCAACTGTGTCAATCTCAAGACCTTGTTTCCCTTGAAGCCAACCAGAGACCCGGCAATTTTTTGGAGCAGATGAGCGGTCAAAGGCCACACTCTGTAATGTAAAAAGAATAAACAAATTAATAAAAGCTAAAAATAATGTGGTTAGAAAAGGGCATTTAACAGAAAAATCGATCACATATCATGCCAAAGAAAAATATTAGTCATTTGATAAACTATAAGAGTAAGTCAAAGCAATTGAAAAATAACAGATAAAGGAAGAAGAATACTTATACAAAGATAATGACCAACTTCCCCATCCCACCCTAACTGGATCATACATCCTAAAACAGTTCGATTGAGAGTTAGATTAACCTGAACAACAAATAAGGAGCTCATCCACTCCAAAAATAATAGCCTGATGACAATACAGGAACATATTTGTCATAGCACAACTACTGCTTTTGCTAAATACAGATCAGTTGAACTGGTGGAAAAAAAGATCAAAAAAGAAAAGTCATAACAAAGGAACGGAATGGCCCATCAATTTAGCTTCAACCACAAAAAATTAAGAAAAATTGTAACAGGAGACCTAATTAAAAATTTAGTTTGCAAAAAACAACCTTTAACCAAATTTTGGATTTAAAGAGGTTTGGTAGGCACTGCCGTTAGCCAGATGGTGTTGCGGTGGTGGTGAAGTTAAAATGGGTGTTATTGGTGGCAGTGTTTTAAAAAGCGCGCATAAGGCGCTGAGACGTAAGGCGGTCAGGGGTGAGCGCTTAATTTGCTCAGGGCGAGGCATTTTGGGTTAGGCACACAAAAAGCGCCCGAGGTGCACCTAATGCGCACTTGGAGCAAACGTCAGCCAAAAATTTTAACTGCCCATATACTGCACCTCGCTTCAAAGAGGCGCACTAAGGCACACCTAGGCGCAGCAAAACCCCTTTCATTTCAGTGCGCCTTGAGCTTTTTTATACAAGTACGTTGATTGGTGGTCACATGCTTTATACATGAATTGTCAATGACTCAACGCTGGATAAATATGGAAGTCACCCCCGGAATCTAGCATAATTCAAAATGTGGTCTTTTAAAAAAAAAAAAAAAAAACAATTTTGAAAGTCAGTTTCTAACATTCCTCAACACTTAGACCAAAAATGCTATATTAATTAATGTCACTAATGCAATAAAAAAAAAAAAACACCTTCCCCCGTTTCATAAAAGTTGCAACACTTCACCCAAAAAACTCACATTTTTAGTCAAAGTGTTGAGCTAACTGCTTTAAATTTTTGAGCAAAATGATCTAAATGTGAACTAGATTTTAATACTCATACATAGAATCGTCCTCTATAATTAAATGTTCATTATTTCAAACTATTTTTTCATTCAAAACACAACCTGAATCAGGTGATGGATATATATTTTAAATTAATCATCTTAAGAATTTCACAAAGAGAACGTTACAAACTTGCACCTTCTAATACATAGTTCCAAATACAAATATGTTAATTCGTTAACAAAATATGACTGCACGGGCTTGATCCAAATATGACAAACAAGAGAGCCAAACCCTAAGAAATTAATGCTATATAAAAGTGTGACAGCAGGCCCCAAAATCCTATTGCTCTCACAAAAATGCACAACGGACTAAAAGATGACTATAAATCTATAATGGCAACTACAACATAGCATCTAAAAAAAATTGATAAATTTACTCCCCATCCCTGTCAATAATAAAAACACCCTGAGGTCACTTGTTCCATTTTCTGGTGACGTTAAAAGAAAGTAGAAAAAACAGACAAGAGTCAAACACAAAAACGGAAGTATTAAACAAGCAGATGCTGGAATGCTGGGAAATATGTGGTTTTGTGCAAAAAAAAAAAGATCCATGCAATGTCCTTTTGCAACATTAAGGTATAAAGAGAAAAGACTAAGAGATGGTACAAGTTGGAAAGGATAGAAATTTAAAAGTTTAGTGAATATGTTTTACTTTTACTTTGTGTCTGCTTGAAGTAACATAGCTTCCATGACATATACTTCGGTATTATTTCATTTCATTTCTTTGACTTACATTTCTTTGACTTAACCCTTGCCAAAGTATGTAGTAACACAAAAGAGGAAAAAACTTCAATGAGCAAAGTATTATTATGCTGATCTTAGTTGTCGGTCCTGCTGTATAATACTCATAGTAACTTTGCTAATTTTACCATTATTGTGAGTCCTAACAAACAAGTAAACAACCTTCACCAATAATCACCAAATTCACAACCTCAACCAAAATTTCATTTTGTTTAAAAAGAGGGAAAGGGATACATGAGGAAAGAAATATATACTGTATTTTTGTTGTTATTGTTGTAGTTGTTTGTGTGAGCCTATAGAGAAGGGAAGAAAACCCCCACATTCTCCCACTTTACAACCATCACCATTGTACACAACAAGAAATAAAGACCAACCTCTCCAACATTGTAATCTCTCCCTTGGTAGCCATCTCCCTCTTGCTCGTATCTAATTATTGTAAATAAGTTTGGTTTTGGGGTGGAGGATGGGTTGGTTGGTTTTGGAGAAGCAGGGTGGGTTTTAGGGGTGTGAGGAGGATTTATGGTCAGTGGATGGGTTGTGCAGATTTCAGGTTGGTTAAGGTGATTTTGGGCTAGGTGTGGTAGTTTACAGTGAGTTAAGAGGGCAAAGTGTTGTGGTCGACAGTGGGGATGCTACAATTAGCTGAGGCAGTGTGGTCGACAGTGTGGATGGGTTGGCGGTGCATGTAGTTGGGATTGGGAAACAAGCATTAAAATTGGTGGTTTGGGAAGAGGTCAAGGTTGAGTAGTCATTCCCTATTCCCTTAGAGTGAAACCAATGGAGAGGGATCCTAGTAGAGAAGACTAGGGGAAACGATAAGGTAAAGGAAATAGGAAAAATGACCCAGCAACAAATACAGAAATCAAGAGAGTTCATTCCCTTATCCTTTCTTGATACCCCATACCAAACACAAAATATATTAACACTTGTTCCATTAGCTTATTAGATTCAAAGTGGTGAAAACAATCAGCAAGGAGTATAACACAGAACAAATCTACAAGCAAGACTTTAGAACAAGTGGCTGAGGAAGATATTTTACTTTGAGTAACAGTCTTAGTTTTAGAAAGATAGTGAGGCTTTAGAGTAGGCGCCTTAGCTCTATGAGGTTCAAAGACCTACAAAAGGCGCGCGCCTTTGCACTTTTTCTTGACTGCTTCATGCGCCTTATTTTGCGCTTTATGACTTAAAGCATCAATAGCTATTATGTAAGTTTATTTTTCCTAAAGCATGCCATGAGACTCAGTTATGGGTAGGTTTTCTTCAATTCTAGTGGAGAGAGAAATCCCTCTAGTCTTCACCTTATTCAATTTAAAGAGCCTTGTTATTAATCACATGACCCTTTCACCTTTTCTCATGACTTCAGTTTTACACTTATATAATAGAAAGTATTATTTCTTTTCTATAAAAATAAGCCTCACCTAGGCACGCCTTGCGCCTAGGCTCCAGGGATTTTTTGCACCTTGCGCCCTTTAAAACTAAGGTAACAGTAAAAGACATTTTTTTTTTTGTGTGTGTGTGTGTGGGAGGGGGGGGGGGGGGGGGGGGAAGACAGAACACATAATGGATATTAAACCAAATAGATTGCAGTCAATCAAGTAAAGCTATCACTAGAATTCAAAAAATAGATTCCAAATAATCAATCTCAATATGCATAGAGAAACTAGGAGCAATGTAAGTTGCAGACCTTGCAAGAGCAACATGAAGATCTCAGAGTCAATGGATCTTTTCATTAGTCTAGATAAAAAAATTTAAGGGGCACCCAAACCTTTTATGTATCACCATTGACAACAAACAGGTGCATCCCAAATAACACCAATCCACAATTTTGGATTTCAAACTCTAAAATGATTGAAACCTATACCTAAATAATGACACTAACAAGATATAAATATCACCTACTAGGGCTCACACTAGATTAAATTAAAAGCATAACAGCAGAGGAGTACAACACATAATTTAATTAAAATCAAAACACATTCACAAGAATTTGACACTTAGTAGTCAGTAACTTGGTACTAGGGGTGAAAGTAGTTTGGATAAAAACCGAAAACCGAACCAAACCGAACCGAATAAGCAATTCGGTTCGGTTTTGTTCGGTTTTCGGTTTGGATCGGTTTGAGAAAATGAAAACCGAATTATATCGGTTTGGATTCGGTTTTGGGATTTTAAAAACCGAAAACCGAACACCGAACCGAAATGTATAAGCCCCATTTCTCAGCCCATTTTCCTACGTATATATACTCAAACCCTAAATTTATAAGCCCAATTTCTCAGCCGTTTCTGATCTCTTTCGGTCTTTCCCTCACTAAAACTTTTCCCTCATCTCTCCCTCTCACCACCTCACTCAGTCACTCCGTTCGTCCACCACCACCAATCCACCACCTCACTACTTCCTGCTTTCCTACTTACCACCTGTGGCTGTGTTCCGTTCGAGTGTTCCAACGCCGGCCGCCGCTGACCACCTGTTCGAGTGTTCCGGTATGGCGGTATGCTTTAATTTCAATATTTCATATTTCACTTCTCTTTCGTTTCTGATCTCTTTCCCTCACTAAAACCCTAGATTTTCCCTCATCTCTCCCTCTCACCACCTGTGTTCCGTTCGAGTGTTCCAACGCCGGCCGCCGCTGACCACCTGTTCGAGTGTTCCGGTATGCTTTAATTTCAATATTTCATATTTCACTTCTCTTTTCCTGCTCGAATTGCATGTTTTCTTTGTTATTTTGAATTTCAGATTTCACTTGCACTTCTCTTTTCCTGCTCGAATTGCATGTTTTCTTTGTTATTTTGAATTTCAGATTTCACTTGCACTTCTCTTTTCCTGCTCGAATTGCATGTTTTCTTTGTTATTTTGAATTTCAGATTTCACTTGCACTTCTCTTTTCCTGCTCGAATTGCATGTTTTCTTTGTTATTTTGAATTTCAGATTTCACTTGCACTTCTCTTTTCCTGCTCGAATTGCATGTTTTCTTTGTTATTTTCGAACTGGTGATAGATTGTTTTCTTTGAATAGTTATTATGCTCGAATTGTATTATGCTCGA